ATGGATTTGGTATTTTCAGGTTAGGGATGCTCGACCTGTATATCCAGACAATAGAGAATTCTTCATTGTGGATGATCCTTGAAAATGTGCTAAGTGAAAGAAGTCAGTCACAAAAGATCACGCGTATGATTTCACTCATGAAATGTCCACAACTGGCAAAACAACAGCAATGGAAAGTACATTAATGGGCAAGCAGAGACAGCTAGTAAGTTTTCCTTTGGAAAGATAATGAAAATCTTCTAAAAACTGACTGTTTTAGTAATGGCTGTAAACTCTATGAATATAATAAACATCACTGAACTGTACATTTTAAAAGGATCAATTTTGCCAGGCACAGTGGTACATGACTATAATCCCAGCTACTGAGGAGGCTGACGGAAGAGGATCCAAAGTTATAGGTTAGCCTGAGCAACTTGGCAAGACTCTGTCTCGAATTTTAAAATAAAAAATAAAAGGGTGAATTTTATGGATATATGAACTAAATTTCAATAAATATATTTTCGAAAAGCAGGTTCAAGTCTTTGTCATGTTAAAAACCCTTCCCTCCATCCTTTATCACTTTCTGCTGCCATCTGTTTCCATTCTTCCCTTCACCATTAAGATGTATTTATTGGGCTGGGGGTTTGGCTCAGTGGTTCCTCCACCTGCCATGTAAACACAGGGTCCTGAGTTCTATCCCTGGTACCAAAATAACAAAACAAAAAAACGATGTATTTATTCTCCAAAGAAAAAAATCTGGGTTTCGCCACCCACTGCGCAACCGCAAGGACCTGAGTTCGACCCCCAGTACCCCCCCCAAAATAATAATAATCAAGGATTTCCTTTATTTGTTTTTATTTTTTCTGGAGAGTTGTGAAGTAGAGCTGCCTTTAAAAATGACCCTACTATCACTTCTCGGCCTTTTGGCTAAGATCAAGTGTAAAAATGACCCTACTGTGGCTTCCATGACATTTCTTCACGATTTTTCTACACCTCTGAACATTTAGGAGTTTCCTTTTCTGGTTCTTTTCCCTCTACCTAGCTTCCTCTACCTATTTGTCCTCCAGGCCTATTTCCAGAACTATCTGCTTGTTGGTACGACTTTTCCTGTGTGATGTTTCTTAAGCCAAAGGCTTCAGCTATCAGTTAAAACAGTCTATTGACTTGCACATCAACATCTCTCTCTCATATGCAAATCTACACATGCAACTCCATAGCAGGTGATGCCACCTGAGGTTTCACAGATAATTCCCATTATGTTCAAAGCTCAGCAGGTGTGGTGGAATCCCGGTACTCTGGGAGGGCGAGGCAGAAGGATCACAAGCTCGAGGCCAACGTGGGCAATTTAGTGACTTAGCGAGACCCTGTCTCAAAATTTAAAATAAAGGGGGGATGGGGCTGTAGCTCAAGGCAAAGGTACTGGGTTCAATCACTAAGACTGGGGAAAAAATAATAACATCTCCAAAGTTTAAAAAATACTCCTCTCCAAATCTGCTCCCCTCCTTGAATTCCATCTCAGTATACTTTATCATTGTCTACTCAATTACCCAAGGTGAGATCCAGGTCACCTAATCCTGTTATTTCTCCCCGACTCCCCAAATCCACCTGTTGCTGAATCCTATAAGCTGTACTTTATAACTATCTGTGCTGTTAACCTACAACTGCATCCCAACTGACTTAAAGTTATCGTCTGCAATTCTAGAATGACTTTTCTGAAGTGAAAACATTATCATGCATCTTTCCCAAGTAACATCCATAAACCCTACTATCACCCATAGGAAAAAACACTGAACACCCTAGAGCGGCAGGTAGCACTTTTGAGGATCTATTTGCAGCCCTGTCTGCTACTTACCACAATGGCCACAGCTGTGGAACACTTCCTCCTCCTCAGTGTCCCATGCTCTCTCGTGCCACATGTGTGTCCCAACTTTCCTTTGGTCTAAGTTTCTTTCTTCAATCTCTGCCTCAGTCATTAAGTCCTTAAGCTTCAGGTATAATAAAATATACAGTACCTAGTATAGTGCCTGTTACAGACAGGGAGTTAAAAATGGGTTGAGCCAGTTTAGATCTCTCCTATTCGTCCTGTCTCAGTGCCTGCTACTTGCTTACAAGAAAAAGCTGAAGGGGCCAGGGATTTAGCTCAGTGGTTCTGGCGCTTGCCTCGAAAGCGCAAGGTCCCCAGGTCGATCCTCAGTACCAAAAGAAAAGAAAAAGCTGAAATTTCTCTGATGGTGTACAAGACTATCTCTATCCATAGTCTGGCCCCTGCCTACCTCCCCAGTTTGATGTCTCCCCACCATCTTACACTCTAACTAGATATACCCTTGCAGATCCTGCAATATAGTTTTGGACGCTTTTGCCCACACTGTTCCTTCTACCCAAATGCTGTTTCTATGCCTGTCCAGCTGTTTCCATCACTTTCTATTTAAAGGTTTTCTTAGGAACTGCCCCTCCATAATCTCATCTTTGCTCTCCAGCTCCTCTGTACATCCCTGAACACGCACACTTTCTCCCATCAAAGCAATCTTAAGGACACATTGTATTTGTGGCAGGGGTGTGGTTCAGTGGCAGAGCTCTCCTGGCATGCCTGAGGCCCTGGGTCCTGGGTCCAACACCAGCACTGGCCTGGGGAGGGGGGGGCCATGCGCCTGTACTTGTTCACGATGCCACTGAGAGCTGAAGCGTGACCACCTGAAGGCGGGGCTGTCTCACCCATGAGTCTGTTACACAGTAATTCCTGGGTTAAAAAGTTTGCATTTTCCCTGTTCCTTCTTAGATAAACATAAGCATCCATGAGGGATATTTTTTTTAAAAAGAAAAAGTTACTTTCGCATAAAGTTAGGGACCAAATCTCTCTGCCAAACGAACAACTCTGCAAATATAACTGTACAAACTAAGGTTAATGTGCATTTTCTCATACCACATCTAAACTGGGGGGAAACAGCCTCTATAGATCTGTAAGAAACATTAAGTTCTCTTGTGTAGTTTCTAGGTACTTTTTAAATATACTTGCCTGTAGTTACTGTTAAACTAGCTATCCTCTTGGACCTCGGGACTCGTGGGATGAACAATGGGAACTACCCTACTTTCTTCCTACCCTGACTACTGCCAGTACAGCTTATTTTCAGGAAGATGCCAAAAAGGAATTATCAACAGATCACCTACACAATTCCAAAGAGGGAAAATAAGGCTACATTTCTCATCTACAGTCTCATTTCTTCTTTGAGAAGGGCTGTCTCCCCGAACATCAAACCACAAGTGGGTCTATTCCTTATCACCACTTGAATGTTTTGTGAATAATTGCCAAAGATGACAAAAGCACTGCAGCATTCAAACCCGTCCACTCCCTCCAACAAGAACTCCGTGACAGCGTATCCAAGGGGGCCGAAGAGTGCACCAACCCAACGTAGGTATCCCCTGAACTGAAATTTCAGCGATCTGCAAGAAGGCTACCAGGCCTCGGGGCAAACGCTGCATGCTGGGAGGGCCGCTCTGCAATGCTGAATCCCAGAACCTGAGCCAGCAGCAGCAATCCGCGAAGACCGAGGTGCTGTAAAACCTGTTCCACCGGAGCAAACCGGAAAGAAGGAAAAGGACAACGGGCTGACCTCAATTAAAGGCCGTGTGGCGCAAGCATCGTTGGAAACAGCCTGGAAAGGGAATGCTGGACTCCAGGTCGGCCCGTCCACCCCGCTGGACCTGCAGTCGGGCCCGCGCCCTGTAGGCGTCCCAGCCCGGTGCCCGCCGCGGGCAGCGCGCGTCCAGCCTGGATCCGAGGTACGCGAAACGCGGGCCCCACCCTCCCGCCGCCGACGGGGCCGCAGAGCCCGGCCTCGGCGCAGGTGGGCGCAGGGTGGGCGCAGCGGGACGCTCGCTCCGGTCCCCGCCCGGCCCGGCCCCGGATCGACCCCGACCCCGAACACTGAGCCTGAGCCCGCAGCAGCCTGACAGGCGTGGGGCTCCGGGCACTCAGGGCGCCGCTGCCGCGCCTGCACGCGCCCGCCCGGCTGACCTGCGCTGCCGCTGCCGCCGCGCGACTGTACACTCCACCGCCTCTCCCGCTCACGCCACCGCCACCGCCTCCTTCGCTGAGCCCCGGGCCGGCCTCGAGCGCCCCATTCCCACCCCCGCCCAGCCTCCGCCTGTTTACAGTGACGGACGAAAGGCGGCAGTCCGGGCCCGGCGCGCACGCGCACCTGCTCCTCCCGCCGCCGCTGCCGGCTTCCCGGGTCGCTTCGCTGTGACGACTCAGGTCGTCATGGACAGCGCCCGGGGTCCTTGCGCACGCTGGGAGTTGTAGTCTGCAGACTCCGACGCCGAGCCCTTCTGAGGCCGCTCATCCGGGAAGCACACTACAACACCCAGAAGACTCCCTCTCTCCCCTCTCCCCTCGGTTCTGGGTGGGACTCGAGCGCGAGAGAGAACACTGGTACTCGGCAGGCGCCTGCGCAGTACGAGGCCTGGAGATCCGAGGCACCGGTGCCTAAGCGCGCTAGTTGGGAGAGGACGTGGGCCTGAGGAGGGCAGGAGCTTTCGTCCTAGCGCTTGGGCGGCTTGTCCCGCTGCTGCCGAAGTCAACACTGTGCCACGCGGACCTCAGCAGTCCTAACCGGTCCAACGTGCCCGCGCACCGCCCCGATGGAGCCGCTGTTTTGGGGTGGGGACGCGGGCTCGGGGTCTCAAAGGAGGGGAGCGCCCGGACTGTGCGGAGAGCGTCGCGTCAGAATACCCGGGCGAGTCCTGGGATGGGAGCTGGCGGCTCCCCGGCAACGAAGCAGCACCTACCTGCCTTACAGCCCTGGCCGGGTTCAGGTCGCCGCCCGAGCAGAGTTCCCTGCAGAACCCTTCGAAAAGCCCCGAAAAGTCGGCCCCTCGTGCACGCTGAAAGCTGGGGTCCGGCCGGCCTTTAAGCATCCTCGTTTTATAAACTAGGGCAGTTATTAGAGGGAAGACGGGATTTTGACCACTCGGGCCTTCGCAGTCACTCTTTCCTGTGAGCTACTCCATTCAGAACGCCTTACCTCCAGGCATGGTGCTGCATGCCTGTCATCTCAGCGCCCTGAAGGATGAGGCAAGAGGATAGTTGCGAATTCGAGGGCAGCTTGGACTACCCTGTCTCAAAAGAAACAAAGGGCCAGGGGTTTAGCTCAGTGGTTCCACCGCCTGCCTCGCAAGCGCAAGGTCCTGAGTTCGATCATCGGTACCAAAAAAAAATTCTTACCTGAGCTAATCACTGCCGTCCGTCTTGCACTGTGCTCCAGTCTTGGCCTTCCTCACATCTGGCCCCGAGTCTTCTGTGCTCTCTGCCCCTCTCTAGTAGAGAGCTCCTTTAGCAGCCTCAAGTTGAACACAGGTCCAGGAAAAGCCTTCCTCTCCAGGAACACAAGTCTCCCGGAACCACCAGGATGGCCACTGACCATACATTCTGCTTCTGCCAGCACTGATTCCATCAAGGGATGGGCAGGGACCTACCTAGACATTCTTGCTTGAAATTGCTGTATGGACACGGAAGTGGGAAAGACTGAGTCATATTTCCTGTAGCATGAGTGGTCCGTCTGCAGTAGGAATGACAGGCCACAAGGGGAAGGGAGGAAGGATGAAAAAAGCAAATAGCCTGATTTCATCCCAGGGCCATGTTTTGAGTGACTTAAGTGCTGTGAACATGTGAGCACAGCCAGTGCTATGGGCCAACCAATACATAAGCCATACCTACTTTTATTATAAGAATAGAGGTGTGAATATAGGGCATATTTGTTGGCTGCCTCCTCAACATTCTTTCCTGCCACTTAAGCTATGCTGCATAACCATTCCCTTAGGGCACTGAGTTTCAGAGATGGTCATCTGCTAAAGCCACTGGGCTCACAAAACCTTGAATTGGGGCTCTTAGCAAACTGCAGCTTCCTTGCTCTTGGTAGTGTATCATAGGTACCTGTGACCATTTTGCTCCTGTGAGGGGAAAGCCTAGTGGAATTTAGGGGACAGACAACCAATGGAGCCTGAGAATAAAGTCAGTGTTGTCAAATGCTAAGAAGATAGATTATAACATTGTTTGGTGGAATCAGAACTGCAATAGCAAACTACCTTTTAGATACTATAGAATATATCCTACAGACTATTTAGAACAGGAAGCAAGGACTATCTTTAAACTTCAGAATTGTGAGCCATAAGTTTCCTGTGTCCTTTACTGGTTACTATTAAAATTCTAAGAATTTCCTAATTCAGTTGGGTTTCTTTTACACAACACTGAAACATCCTACTATCAGTTCCTCCAAAAAAAAAAAACCTGCCTTAAAGCCCTGGGCTCAATCCCCAGCACAGGCACGTTCACAAAAACCCACACACATAACACTACAAAAGGAACATTCATGTTCAGTAATTCTCTCCACACAAACATAAAGCTAGACAAAATTGGCAAAAGCAACTGTTTCAGAGCAGTGGAAATCAAATACAAAAAAACACCCTGAGAAACATCTACTTTTCAAAAACTGCTAGAAGTTCAGTGGAAACAGCCCATGTCTGTGGCCTTGCCTGAAGCTGCTTCTCTCTGTGGACAGGGAGATTTTAGAAATAGGATGCTGCTGAAGGGTAAAATAAGCCTCTATGGATCTCTGACCAGCTAAGAAATGAGGCACTTGAGAACTAAGAAATGACCCAAGAGAGCTGAAAAGAGACAGTCATGGGAGACTTGAGAACTGGTGGTAAGTCAGAATACTTTCCACAACTAAATCACAGCGTTTGAGTACAGCATCTTCCCTAATCACTGGCTGACCGCTCACCTGTGCAGTCAGGTGCCAGAAAGTCAGGCTGAAAATAAAAATGATTAAAAGAAAAAAGCAGCCACACATCATGACAGAGACAGATTTTAAATCTGCTTAAATCCAGGCAGATAACTAAAGACAAAACACCAACAACACCGTGAAAAATTAAAATCTAGAGTTGCTATAATACATAAAATGTCCACATTTCAACCAAAAATAGTGGTTCCTATAGAGAAACAGGAAAATGTCATCTACTCTGGAGAAAAGAAAGCAATCAATAGAAAATGCCTTTAGGCCCAGATAGTGACCCTAAAAGCACACTCTTTAATAAAATAGGCCTTACCTTTAAAAATTAAAGGACATTTCTCCAAGGATTAAATAGAAAGTTAATGAGAATTACTTAAACAGATCTCAGTAGAGAAATGGACTACAGATGTTCCTCTTTTCCCTGTCTAAGGACTGTTCAGACTTAGGACTGAGGCATACTGTTCAGACTTAAACTTACGACTGCTTAGACTTATGACCCATCTTTTTTTTTCTGTATAGTTCTGTACATTTTGTTTATAGAACCTCAACATCTTTTTCTGTGCAGTATACCTTTTTTATACAGTACTATAATTTTTTAATTATACTGTACAGTACTGTGGTTTTATGGTGTTATAAATTACAGTAACTGCTTGTTATGCAAATAAAAGCAGTCATCAACTTGCAGTTTCCTTTGACCATGTCTTTGTTCTGAATATTGTAATAACGTACATACTATGTCCAGTTCCTCATTTTGTAACCAATTCACTTAACGACCAAGTCACAGGAACAGAACTCGGTTGTTAAATGAGCAGTGTCTGTATAAAAAAGCAAAATGAAATTTATAGAGTTGAAAAAGTATAGTAATAGAAATATTATTAGATGATCTCAGTGAAAGATCTGTGATGGCATAAAAAAGAATTATATACATAAAGATAAATCAAGAGACCTTATTCTATCCAAAACATAAAACTATTGAAGAAAAAATTAAGGACACTTCATACTGTCTCTGCAATTTAAGATTAAAAAGTATGTTTTTACCAGTGAGCAAAACTTCAGAACAGCTGTAATGCAGAGAAAAAAAAGGAAATACTTAGGTATTAGTGAGAGTGTGATAGCACTTTTTATGCTGAAGGTTACATATAAATATCAGGTGTTCTAATAATAAATATTATTTTACCAAAGAATGATACAAATTATTCCTCAATAGGAAGCCATGAGTCCAAATAAGTAATCTACCTAATAAAGTTCTGAGCATGGTATGGTGGCACATCCCTGCAATCCCAGTATTTTGGGAGGCTAAGGCCAGAGGATTGCAAGTTCATGCCCAGCTTGGGGAACTTAGCAAGAACCTGTCTTTAAATAAAAATGAGTGGGGGACAAAAGCTCTGGGTTCAATTCCCACTACTGGAGGAAAAAAATACCAGGAAGCTCTAGTTGACATTAAAAAAGAAAGAAAAAGTACCTTAGAGACTCATGGAATTATGTGAAATCTCTAAAATACCAGAAGGAGAAGAGAGAGAAAAGGAAGCCAAAACTTTAAATCATAGCTAATTTATTTTGTAAATTTGATTTAAAAACAAAAAATCAACAGATACAAGTTCAGATAAACCCAAAGTAAGATAAGTGCAAAGGGAACCACACCTAAATACATCATACCCAAAAGGCTGAAAACCACAGACAAAAAGAAAATCATGAAATTGGGTATTGTGCCACACGTGTATAAGCCCAGCTATTGGAAATTGAGGCAGAAGGACTGCAGTTTGGAGGGCAGCCTGGGGAACTTAACAAGACCCTTTCTCAAAATTTAAAGGGAAAATGGCAGTGTGGTGTTACGGTTTGAGTTTAGCTGTCCCCCCAAAGCCTCTTGCGAATGAGGTGGGGCTACTTTGGAGGTCGCTGAAATCTAAAGTACATGATTGATTCATGGTGGGGATAGGCCAGGGGGCACTAGTATTAAGGGCATGAGTGCTACCTGCCCTAAGTAGTCTGAATAAGATAAAAAGTGGCAGAAAGACGCTGATAAATCTCTTGTTGCTTTTGCTGCTTTCACTACCATGAACTGTTACCCCTCTGCCACCCTGCCTTGGAGCCAGCTGATTATGGACTGAAACCTCTGCCCTTTCCCCTTTAACTTAGGGTGTTCAGTATTTTTGTCTCAGCAATAAGAGAAAAGTAACTAAGACAAATGGTAAGCAACAACTCAGCCTCTCTGAAATTTGAACTCCAGACACTGGAAAATAACTACTTGGGGAGAAAAAAAAAAAAGTAGATCCCCAAGAACCAGGAAAGTTCTGACAGGAAAATTAAAACCTACAGAGAAATTAAAAAGACAGAACAACATGGAGAAGGGAAGGGACAGTCTGCACCTATTTTTCCTGGCTCATGTCTTATAGGAAAGGGAAACTGAATCCAGCAAGTGAGAGCTGGGGACTCCAGAGGGTTTCAGGGAGAAACGTGGTAGTGCAATAGACTGGCAGGTGCTATGGGCGGCAGGGAGAGCATGGGATTCTGCTCCCATGTGAATCTTTCCACAGGCAACAGCTGGTGAGTGGTTCCAGTCTAAGTGCCCAGCATACCCCTGGAGAAAGTCCTTGGTTGGACACCATTCCAGAGAAGGGTTCATTATTTGGAGTTGGGACTCAGAGCAGCCATGGATGGCTTCACTTCAGAGCTCCCTGTGTTAAGTTCCCATAGTGACTGGGTGAAAAACAGCCATGGGTGATGGCTGTAGTCAAGGAGCAAGCTGGAAGGGGACCCCCTGAGGGGTTTGAGTTAAAGGACACAGGCCCCACCCCCATGGCCAGAAGTCAGGCTCAGGCTGAGTTGCTCCGGATTTGAAAGTTGCAGTGTTGGCACCCTTGCCCTAATCCACTGCCTGCTGGTGCCTGCATCCAGCACAGATGTGTAGTCTGACTGCCTTTTTTTTTTTTTAAATCTACAAGGATGAGCAGGGACAGATTTTGATTTGGACACTGTCCCAAAATTGTAGATCCCAGAAGAAAAACATTCAAAATCACAGAGAAATTTCTTTTTTGTTTTTTGGGGTTTTTTTGCTTGTTTGCTTTGTTTTGGTGATTTGCTTGATATTACCAGAGTTGTATAATTTTTGCTATTAATGGGGTTTCTCTGTTAGCCAACACTCAGATGTTTTCTTTTTTCTTCTTTTCTCCTTTCTTCTCCAGTTTACTGGAGATTAGGGGATTTTCCTTTGTCCTTTTTCTTTACTTCTTATCTCTTTTCTTCTTTATTTTTCCTCTTTCCCTTCTACTTTTTCACATTTTAATTTTTTCTCTCTTATTTTTATTCCCCATACAATTTTTTTCTCCCTCCTTTTCTCTTATCTTCTATTTCTTGTCAGCTTTTCTCTTACCTTTACATAATTCTACAAACATCTCTCCACCCCCAACAGGATCCTTTGTCACTATTCTATCTTCTTCTCAAATAGTTTAAGGTTTTAAATTTTCCCTCTTGCATTCCTCATTCTTAACACCCTATATCTTTAATAGTATTGTTCCAGAGGCCAGGG